TGGCAGCGGCTCCTGCGCAGGGTGTACTGGCGCGGCCTGGCGAGCCTCCGTCCGCCGAGAGAACGCCGAGCAGTACCGAGCAGTACCCTGGGAAGGGCTGGAAAGGGTGTGAAGAGACAGAGCCGGGAGGCAGAGTGAGGCCGCCACACGGAGGAGTTCACGTTTATTTAACATGCAATCATGGTGGTAATTACAGAGCAATTATTTCATATGGGCATATTACGAGGAGAGAATGAAAATAATTTGTAAAAAGACTAAAATGAATGGGTTCCGTGGCAGTTTTCATGTCACTGCACTTGCTGGTGCTAAAAAGGAGCAAGAAAGCAGCCCAGGTGTCGCTTCCTGTTGTGTCCCCTCAGCCTTCCGTCCACTCAGCCGTCCGTCCCTCCAGCCTTCCGTCCGCTCAGCCTCCCGTCCCCTCAGCCGTCAGTCCGCTCAGCCTTCCGTCCGCTCAGCCGTCCGTCCCCTCAGCCGTCCGTCCACTCAGCCTCCCGTCCCCTCAGCCTTCCGTCCGCTCAGCCGTCCGTCCGCTCAGCCGTCCGTCCGCTCAGCTTCCCGTCCACTCAGCAGTCCGTCCCCTCAGCCGTCCGTCCGCTCAGCTTCCCGTCCCCTCAGCCGTCCGTCCCCTCAGCCTCCCGTCCCCTCAGCCTTCCGTCCGCTCAGCCGTCCGTCCGCTCAGCCTCCCGTCCCCTCAGCCGTCAGTCCGCTCAGCCTTCCGTCCGCTCAGCCGTCCGTCCGCTCAGCCTCCCGTCCCCTCAGCCGTCAGTCCGCTCAGCCTTCCGTCCGCTCAGCCGTCCGTCCGCTCAGCCTCCCGTCCCCTCAGCCGTCAGTCCGCTCAGCCTTCCGTCCGCTCAGCCGTCCGTCCGCTCAGCCGTCCGTCCCCTCAGCCGTCCGTCCACTCAGCCTCCCGTCCCCTCAGCCTTCCGTCCGCTCAGCCGTCCGTCCCCTCAGCTTCCCGTCCACTCAGCAGTCCATCCCCTCAGCCGCGCTTCCCGTCCTCTCAGCCGTCCGTCCGCTCAGCCTCCTGTCCCCTCAGCCTCCCGTCCCCTCAGCCTTCTGACCGCCTACCCATCCATCCACCTAGCTGTCCGTCCGCTCAGCCGTCCGTCCACTCAGCCACCTTCCACTCCCAGCCTGACGATGCTGAATTGCTACTTGACGGCTCTGACTATGCAAACAGTTCAATTCTTATAAAGAAACTCAGCCGTCCGTCCGCTCAGCCTCCTGTCCCCTCAGCCTCCCGTCCCCTCAGCCTTCTGACCGCCTACCCATCCATCCACCTAGCTGTCCGTCCGCTCAGCCGTCCGTCCACTCAGCCACCTTCCACTCCCAGCCTGACGATGCTGAATTGCTACTTGACGGCTCTGACTATGCAAACAGTTCAATTCTTATAAAGAAAAATAAGGAACTTTCTCGATCCTACAAGCGAGTTAAACAGAAAAAATCCTTTTTCCCTGGTTCTGCGTCCTTTGCCTGTCACAGACGCTCAGGGTTAAAGGGATTTGACAGATACCAGGTGTAAGAATTCTTCAAACTGGATCTGGTGAGTGACTTTTCACAGTATGGCAGGGGAAATGAGGTCGGCGCAGAGCTGAGACAGTCCGTGTGCAAGTACTAGCCTTGCCTGCGAGGTCCTAGAACAAGCTGCAAAGATCAAGTTCACGCGTTTCTTTTAAAATTAAGAAATGGTATCCCCGTGCTGCCGAGCTCCTTGGCAAACAGATGAGCCGCACCCGGATCTGGACTCTGACATGTGCAGCTCAGCCATTGGAGGGATGGGCACTGCCTTCGAGCGCTGTACCTGCTCCCTGCGGGCCGATCTGCGGTTCTGCTACTTTGTGGACAGCCCACTCCTCCGATGGCCACCGGGGGTTCTTGGGGACGGCCATGTGACGTGCACTAGTGCCTTTACACCACCCACACGCACCAGAGAATGCCTGAGACCCTGGCAATGAATAAAAATAACAACAACAAATACAAGAAGAAAAGGAGGAGAAAATAAAACCAGGGGAAGGACAAGCCGATGTTCCTGTGGGAACCGGGAGAACCAGCAGAGAAACGCAAAGTGCACAGATGAGGAAATGCTGAGTCCGGGATTTGTGCTGTTC